TTGAAGACCGACAACGCGCTCATGTCCTGGAGATGGGGGAAGCGCTCAGCCAAAGACTTCTTCTCGAAGAGACTTTGCGCGCGGATCTCGGCGTACTCAAGCTCGATGAGTTCGTGCTCCTGGGGAAGGCTGCGAAGATTGGCGAGTACACGGCGTGCCTCTGCCTCACGGCCGTGATGGACGAGCCAACGGGGAGAGAAAGGCATGAAGATCATACCAGCACCGAGAAGTACAGCGGGAGCCAGTTGCAGAGCGAGAGGGAGAAGCCAAGCAGCCTCCTTCTGTCCGTCTCTCCCGGTGCCACCGATGTAGTTGGTGCCGTAGTCGATCCAGAAACTGATCATGATACCCAGGGTAATGCTCAATTGCTGGAGACCCACAAGCGCACCTCGTACCTCGGGCGGTGCGATCTCGGCGTTGTACATTGGGACAATCATGGACAAGGCACCGACACCCATACCGGTAACGAAACGGCCACCGAGAATAGCATTGTGGCCTTGACCGGCGGAAGCAGTGCATTGAACGACGACACCGACCATGAAGACTGCGACGCTGACGAGGATGGCGTATTTACGGGAGAGGATCTCAGCGATGAATCCAGAGTACATTGTTCCGAACCAGGCACCGAGTTCGAGGATGGATACGAGCCAGCCCTGCTTGGACGAGTTCCATTCAAGTGTTTCTTGATCCGCGATGTAGTCGCCCATGTCTGAGCATCTGTAAGTGACTTGCCTGTAGTTGTAGTGGTGGGACGTTACTTACGTTCTTTGAAGGAGGGCATGGTTAGAACACCAGAGAAGACACCCTGGTTGTAACCATACAACAGTCCACCCAGGCAGGCAAAGCATGCGATACCAAACACTCTGGCGTTTTTGACCAGGGCCATGGGTCCCGATGCACCTGCGAGCGCTTGACGGCGAGCCAGAGCGGCCACCTCAAAGTCGCCGGCACCACCACCGACTGGAGCCATGCTGACGATTCGAGTGCGTTCGTGGGTGAAAGATCGAAGTAAAGATCGTCAAAGAATGGGACGAAGCACGAGAGTGCAGGGTTAGTCAGTAAGCTTTTCGCGAAGCCCTTGACAGTTGAATCCCAAGATCGGGGAAGACATGGGGAATGCAGTCCTACATATGCATTTCCATTTCGCTCGGGCGGCCACCCAAGTCAGCATACCATTGTCTCGGGTAACGGGCCTACACGCTGAGTGGTTGATGTTGCGAAGCTTTCCCATGGCGGATAAAGAGACGGTTAAGCTCCATGGCACCAACGCTTATTTCGGGCTGCGGCAGCGATTCAAGCATTGGTGGCTGTCCTGGCATTGGCGCTTCATTGCTTGTAACGTCCCGCGAGGAAGCAGGCTAGAAGCCACTGACGGCTGGGCGCACTATTGACAAGAGTCGCGGAGGGTGGAGGCGACGCGGGGAGAACGCGTTTGGGCGCACAGATGCTGAGCAATCACGGCTGAATCGACCGTTTTGTGAGATCGTTACGTGTTGGAGCTGGCACGAGACCGACCGCCTTTTCGACCTGGAGCCTCTGTCTTGCGATGACCTGCTCAAGATGAATGCTATTTAGATCCGAACTTCTGCTAGAGTAACAGGCTTTGTCGTCTAGCTTGCATACCTAGAGGCATACCGAGCAGCAACCGCGCGTCGCAATAGATTAAAAGCGCGTATCTGCCGGTCCGCGGACGCCCATGCCGCCAGCCCCCGCCCTCTCGAGCTGGCAGCCCATGAGTGTGGAGACTCCACAGCGGGATGTTAGCGCGTCGTTTGCATTTTGCCTAAATGCTCTACCCTCGGCGTTCACATGGTGCGAAGGATCACGGCGCTGCGGCGCTGCGGTAAGATCGGAGCCTTTGTCGTCAGGTCAGTCACGGGACGCGATCGAAGACTCGGTTCCGACCTTTATTTCCGTGAGGATTGGATGAGCGAGATTCGGCCGTGAGGTACAGCGAGCGTGTAGAGCGGACGACGCGAAGATGGCCACACAGATTGTGGGTTGAAGCGTTCGGGCCCACTGGCTGAGGATGCAGCCAATCACGATGAGGTCAGCAGCGACGTCATGCATTTGCCGACCTCCGATGCCATCGCCATCGTCCAGACTCGAGAGTGCACAGCTTCCCGTTCTCATGCTCCAACGCCACCTCATCGCTAAATTGCTTCCAAGAGCTCGAAGACATTTTTGAACTGAGACACGCAACACCGAGGACAGCACTGTCGTGCGATGCTGCAGATTGAGTGCGGCGGTGCGCTAGCCCGAGTGCACGTCAGTGGCTCAGCAGTCTGCCTCCCAGCGCCTTCCTGCTTTCTCATACCCAACATCATTTCCATCGCACTGGTTGGGGCTTTGTTGTACGTTTAAGAGCCTTCGCTGCATCCTTTGGCAATTAAAGGCAAGGTCCTGTTGTGTGGCACATATAGTCACGTGCCAGGTGTTGACCTGATGTCGAAGAGTGACTCCGAGGTAGGGGGCTGGATGCTGTGGCTCCGCTGCCTTTGTTGCATTGTTGATATAGCCAGCCAATGAGCAGCTTCGAGGCTTCCAGGTTTGAAACAGTGCCCTCATCACCTGACATGCCGTAAAATACCCGTGGGGAACGCCAACAACGACCAACACTCAACCGAGCGACGCTGGTCCCAGCGACTTCTTAAAGTACTTCGCGTTCCCCTTCAGCTTTGGCTAACTGATACTTCTAAGATTCTACGCGTGGGATAACCTCACTTCGCATCGATCCCCAAGCTCAATTTTACGTCTCCGTCCGCGTCTCCGTCCTGCGTCCCACGTCCTGCGTCTACTTCGATAAAACCGAACCATGAGCGTTGATTTATGCCCCAGCGCCAACATTCGCTCAAAACGAGATTTGAAACACCTTTGCGAAGTCGAAGACATTGAGACCGGCGCATTCAAACGATGCACCTTCGCGTACATCGATGATCACGAGAGAGCATGGTTCGGGCAGACAACGGAGATGAGAAAATATGATCTGACTGTTGAGGATCTGAATCGACTCTTGCAACAAGTCCCCGACGAGAAGATTTATCCGCTGAAGACCACCAGTCTATCCACAGTACCAGAAGAAACCCGGGGCAAGTACTACATCAAACGGCCTAAGCTATTGTTTCTGGATGATGAAGCGGAGACAAAGCTTCTGCCTCAGCTGTTACCTGGAGAAGCAGAGGTCTTACAGCTCCTCGAACACAATCCTCATCCGAACATTATCAGGTTCCATGGTTGCACTGTCAATCGCAGTCGTGTTACCGGTATTGCTCTGGATCAGTACAGTGTCATTTTGAAATACCGTCACGAGGATGTCCCGCAGCCTCTCGATATAGAGGCTTGCATGCGCGGTATTCGTTCGGCTCTGAAACACCTTCATCTCCTTGGACTCGCGCACAACGATCTCAATCCCTCAAATATCGCTCTTGACACCAGTGACAACCCATTTCTACTAGACTTTGGGTCTTGCAGAAGATTCGGTGAAGTCCTTCTCACCGGAGGTACACCTGGCTGGATAGATGAAAATTATTCCACAACAGCTCAATGGCACGATGAACTGGCTGCAGAGAAGATAGAGGCGTGGTTTCTGGGCAAAGCACAAGAGCACGTTTAGACTTATGAGGATTGGAGTGTACGTGGAACTCTCGCCGTCTACAGACTGCTTCAACAAGCACCTTGACATGTGCAAGACGTGAGGTCAACCTCGCCCCAGACACATAAAGCAATGTGTACAATTGCCGAATCATCCTTGGATCTTTGCCGTCTCCATATCCTGACTTTAAACGTTGTCAAAAATGGCTTCCGGGCAGCCTGAGGTTTGCTAATCTCGTCGGCTCGGGATCTTGTCAGACGTTGGGGCTACGTTTGGAGATGCCATACTTCCCTCCCTCTGTTGAGTATCTCCTTACATATGGGTCAGACAGGCGAAAGCTCAGTGGATTGAAGCAGTGAGGCTGTGCTAACTCTACCATACGTCACACTGCATATTGATCCCTGCTAACATGACCAACCGATTTGCAAGAAGCTGGGGGCGGCTGCAGCAATACGCACGTTGCTTGTTGGTATGAAGCTCCTTCCACGAATCGCTGAACACACACCCCTACCCCTGGATTAGACGAAGTACATTGCCGCAGTTAGCGCGATCCAAAGGCCCTCTGCGTCTCAGATATCGCTCCCTGTCGCGTCACCCTTCTCTAGCACCGTCGAGCCCGATCGCTAGACAAGTTCGCTTCGGCTTGCAGCTGGTAACCTTTGCACTCCCACTCACACTTGATTGTACTTGTAAGTGTTGTGGTCTCTCCTGCGTCTTGTGTATCTTACCTTCTTAGGCAGCGTCTACTCTCCTACGCTTCAACCTTTCTTGTGAGATGCTCACAACTAAACACACGCTCTATCCAATCTCTGGCATACTCATCTTAGCTGATTATGGGGCTTCAGCTTCGTCGTTTACCAAATCCGGGAGTTTAGTACGATTAACCTGAAGAGCAACCTTGTTGAAGGTTGATTGGGCAGCTTTAGCGAGCTTGAACAAGAGCCTTTTCAGGCTCTGCTTGCTCGATTTGCGAAGAGCTGGGACGTCTCTGTATCGGGTCGTATCGCCCCCAACGACGCCACAGGTCTAAGATCGCGTCACTCTTGAAGTGCTACGACTAAGCTCTAGCCTGAGTCGGAAAGCGCAAACTAGTGGGACAGACAAGCCTAGCAAAACAGCCCCGACGCAGAGTACTAAGGCAACTTCTACCGCGCAGACCACCTCTCTGCAGTCGACTACAGACATGACCTCCACGACGCAGAGCGCGAGTTCTACTGTTACTTCGAACCATACATCGTCATCTAGTAGAGAGACGCCGACATCCGCAGCTGATCTCAAACGAGAGTACATGATTGCAACCAAACATGGCTTGCCTTGGACAAGTTTCAAAACCTTCATTGACACCCTTGACGGAGGTGAGGGATTCTTGGCCAGATTCGACGGTATTGGCAGCTATATGTACGCCACCATGCTCAACAGTACGCAAGCAGCAGAGATAGCCGATACGAATGACTGGATTGAATGGATCGGTCTCAACACGGGCGGAGTGCCGGAAGAAGAGCTAGAGGACTTCGCAGAGGAAAGACGACGATCCAGTGTTGACCCTGTACAGTGGTACCATATCGCTAGCGAGCACGACACGCCATGGGAGAAGTTTAAAGCCTTGATCGACACACTTGACGGGGTCGAGAACTCACTGGTTAGATGGGACTATATCGGAAGCTATATGTACGTTGCGAAAATGACAGCCACGCAAGCAAAAGAGATTTCTGAATCCCACGACTTCATCAAGTGGATTGGTATCAACGACGGCGGGGTGCCGGAAGAAGAGCTAGAGAATCTTGCAGAGCAAAGACGAGCTGTCGGTGTAGCGCAGACTGGATCAAGGTCGCTATCAAATACACCAAAGCCGCTCAGATTACCTGCATCGACGATCTTGCATCCCGAAACTGCATCTGGAGATGACCACCATATTCTGACGAAGGACATGATCCTGCCGAAAATAACTGAACATCGCGGGAATGAACTACCCGCAAATATCGAACTTAGCGAGGGCTCTTCTGCCACTTTGAATCGGACTTTGTCGTCCAGTAGGGAGACGCCGATCGCGACTGCAACAACCGAGCAAGAGTATGCGATACACAGCAAGAATGATACCCCTCCCGATGTCTTCAAGAGTTTTATCGACGAGCTCGACGGAGGGAAAGGACACCTATATATATGGGAGGCTCGTGGTGGGCAGCTGTACATAACTTTGCTCAACGCTACACAAGCAAAGGAGCTGCCCGAGCATCATGACTTCATCGAGTATGTCTTTCGAAACACAATCGCGGAGGCTTTTGAGGGTAACGAAGGACCTCAAGTGACGCAATCTGTACAAGCCGGAAATGAAGCTGGCCCAGTAAGTGGTCCATCAATTTTGTCTCGTTTGCTCACATAGTCAGGATGAACGCGCTGTCGCTCGTGCAGTCAACACTGTGGCCACGCCAAACCTGCTGGCATTAGGCGACTTCGACTTTGAGCGGCAGAGAGACGAGAACTTCTTGATCGGCGAGCATGGAACGATGTAAAATGGCCATGTGTTGGTCGTCGCTCTCGCTTCACGGTGATGGATGCTTCACCATGAAACAGTTGGCCAGATACTTTGTTCAAAACTGATACTCGTTCAATTCCATCCTACAATACCCTCCGCTAAAGTCAAAGGTTGCTGTGTTGACCCTGTCATGACCGAGATCCTTCTTCCGATAATACCTTTGTCACCAACGCCGAGGTGCAGTTTCTCTGGTAATTGCATGAAACCTCTTTGTGGCGACTCTATTTCGAAAGAGTACAAAGCATCCAAAGCACCTTGTTGCGTTGACGAGCAGAGATCACCGTCACAACTAATAGCATCGTCAGCATTGCGCTAGCCCTTTGGAAGGACGCAACCGTGACGGACTGAACTCACTGTATGACCAGCCGGTGCCTGTCCTGTTGCAAAACGTCGTCGAGCCCTTGGCATTCAACGTTGGTCCCGCATTTTGACAGTGGGTTGGTAAAGAATAGAACCATCTCTTGTTCTCGATGTGTGCGTGCTAGGTGGGATGTTGGTCGCAGTACTGCTATCGAGCCTCCTTGGCTGACGCGCGTTGAGCTGCCGTTGCACATTGCTAGACTCTGGTGAAGGAGACGCGACGGATACAGGGATATAAACTCGGCTTTTTAACAGTAGAAGAATAACGATGGAAGAGCGTGGTTGGGTAAATGGACAGTCTGTAAGTATACGAGTGTAGGAAGTCAAGCCTGAGGTCTATCGGCGCCGAGGGGTAGGAAATTGCGAGCGAATGATTATCGATGGTAGCAGAGATGCAAAGTCTTTGTAGTCTACGCACTGTTTCAGCGGCATGTGTTGCAATGTTTGAGATTTGAGAGTGAATGCGTGTCTTTGAGCAAGTTTCGGAAGAGTACCCGATTGGTCAAGCTCGGGCGCTAAGATCCACCATGGTGCTCTTCAGTGAAGGTATGTATGTATGTGAATGCGATCGCAAAACCGTCATATCATTCACATCGTTTCGTGCTGTCCCTATATGAGGTCTCCGCCCGTTTACATAGAAGCCTTGAGCACGCTGAAAGCATCGGCGCGCGATCCTCGGTAACGCTCTTCCGCCGTCTTCCAATTGATAACATTCCAGATGTTTTTGACATATGCAGCTTTGCCGTTCTGGTACTGGAGGTAGTATGCGTGCTCCCACTGCATGTCAGATTAGTCGCCTGTTGCCTCAAGGGTCGAAGAGCCAGCAACTCACCATATCAACACCGAAGATCGGAACTTCGCCCTTGCCAACGACAGGATCTTGGTCCTTGGTCGTCACAATAGACAGCCGCTGCTCTTTGCCCATATCGGTCTTTACCAGCCAGCCCCAACCACTTCCCTGAATGCCGAGCAGAGCGGCGTTGAAAGCTTCCTTGAACTTGTCCTCGTCACCCCAGGTCGCCTTGATCTGCTTGAGCAGCTCAGGAGCAGCGGAGCTCTTGGCCTCATCCGAGCTTGCAGGTGCGAGGTTCTGCCAGAAGAGGGAGTGGTTGATGTGTCCGCCTGCGTTGAACTTGATTCCCTGTTGTATCGAGACCTGCGAGGTGATGTCCGAGGTAGAGACAGCTTCGGCCTGGGTCTTGAGAAGACCGTTCAAGTTCGTAATGTAGGTTTGATGGTGCTTGCTGTGATGCAGCTCCATGATCTGCGCGGAGATGTGCGGTTCCAATGCCTAGAACTGTGAGCATACCGTGCGCGGGGTAACAACGTCATCTCAGGCTATACTAACATCGTAGGCATATGGTAGCGGAGGAAGCGTGTATTGGGGTGCAGACATGGCGCCGAATTCGAAGGGCTGTTGTTCTGAAGCAAAGACTGTGGATGTAGAGAGAAGAGGAAAGAGAATGGTTGAGAACGTCGATATGCCCCGCATCGTGCCTGCCCCTCACGCAATCGATACGTATAGAAGCCGGGTACGTTCGTCAGACTGCCAGGTCGTCACCAACAGGGTGCTCTGGATGTATGCTGCCGAATTGGGTCTAGTGCACTAGAAACTGCCTCAATTGAGCGCGATGCCACTCGAATGCTCCACTATGTCTGTACTGGAATCTAAACCCAGGTAGATGACGTATAGACAGACGTTGTATTAATTTCTGCAGCAATGCCTGCTGATCTGACAAAGAGGAGAACGTGCGATGGCCAGCTACAGGTAGCTGCTCACGTATGAGTTTCTTCAATGGCGAGGCAGCAAATAGGAGGCGATGCCAATGCTCGCATCAATGACGGATTAAAGGTAACACAGCACTTGTTGCGCAAATTGACGAGGAGACGATGTGACGAAGGCGCGGTGTTGAGTGGGAGATGAGGTGAGGGAACGGCAGTACGTGTTGTTCCGGTCGGACCTCGGGGATTCCGAAGTTGACGCCGTTGTGAAACACGATCTAAGCTCGGTTGAGCTTAGCTTGATGTGGTGATCATCACAAATCGATTGATACTGCGGACCAGGGATGGGGGTTACTAGTAACGTTACTAGTGATTTTACTAGTTACTAGTACTAGTATTACTAGTGTTACTAGTATTACTAGTACTAGTAACTAGTAACTAGTAAAATTACTAGTAATAACTAGTATTACTAGTACTAGTAAATTTATACTTAGAAAATATTTAAAGTAAGTATTAGTATATATACTATAACTATATATCTAATATATATTTAAGTTCTATTAAGTATCTAACTAGTCTAAGTATATATTATTAAGCTAATAGTATTATAACTAATACTTTTAAGTTCTTTTACTTTAAGTTTAGTATAGTATTTAGATAATAATAATATAAAAATTAGTATACTATTTTAGTTTTATAGTAAAGTAAGTTATATTACTTAAACTTTTATATAGTTATACTTAAAGTATATATAATTATAAAAAAGTAACTAGATAGTAAATAGTTAATATTATTTTAGTTACTATATTATCTTTAACTATATAATATAATTAGAAAAGATTTATATAAAAGAAAAGCTATTTTATTAATCTATTAAAAAACTAGTAAATAAGCTAAAAGAAAATAGTAAGTATTAGTATAGTAGTTATAGATAATAATTAAAGTATATAAGTAGTAATTATAAGTTAGATAGCTAGAATATAGTAGAGATTTAGATTATTATAAGTTATAGATTAAAGTATAGTAGCTAAATAGTAAAAAAATAAAAGTTTTTAAATAAAGTTTAGTTATAAAAGTATTATAGTAAAAGATATACTTTATAAAACTTTTAGTAAATATATAAACTAAAGTTTAAAGCTAATATTTTCTTTTAAGTTATACTTTAGAAATATCTAAAATAAAACTAAAATATACTTTACTTTTAGAGTACTTTTAAATTATAATAATATTAAGCTTTAAATTTTATTTACTTTATATAGAACTAATACTTCTACTATATATATATATTTCTACTAAGCTTTATTAAAGCTATTTACTATTATTACTTTAGTATTTAATATATATTTATTATTTAATTTTTTAGAAAACTTTTATATATATATACTATATATAATTTAATAAACTTAGTTAGATTTATACTATTTAATAAAGCTTTTTATAAATATTAATAATAATATAAATATACTTTAGTAAAATATAGTAAATAAAGTTTAGTATAATATAGTAAAAAGTAGTAAAGTTTAGTATAATATAGTAAAAAATAGTAATATTTAGTAAAAAGTAGTAAGATTTAGTATAAAGTAGTAAAAAGTAGTATAACTTAGTAAAAAGTAGTAAAGTTTAGTATAAAG